TATTATTAATCAAAAGTCCTTATCGTCAACTTTGAGAATATAATACTTCTTTGTGAAGTCGAAAATGTATAATCAATCATCACTTTAAATAGATAACACTATAGTGAAAAGTTTAGACAATTTACACCAAAACTTATTAACCTACGAAGTTTGTAGAGATTATCCACTTCTGAAGACAGAACACATTACAAACTAACTTTACGAAGACAACCAATAAAATGAAGGAAGTATTGCACTGTTATTTCGACCTAGCATATATTTTCTCATCACTGAGTTCACTAAACTCTACGAGTTGTCTGAAGATAATTTTCTCTCCCCAAAGTTTGGCGTTTTTAAGATTAAATTCGTGGTGTCATGAGTTCTCACTGCTAAGGTTATACATACTATGACGAATAAGCTGTCCAGTGCTTCTCAGTTTTAATAGTGTCTTTAACATAATTCAGTTTGTAATGTACGCTAAAACTAATCAATCCTGTTTTACCAGTGGAAGACTGCACAACACTACATTACATCAAACACTGCAACATATCAGCGACACTACACTATCAGTTTCACCGTTTACGGTTCACAGCTTTAAACATAAAATAATACATTATTTTTACTTAGAAACAAAAAATGGGATGATTTTATGCAATTCTACCTGAACTAGAACTATATAACATTTTTCGAAGAGTAACAATTACTCATCTGAACTTAATTAACATTTATTTTAGATAAGTAACCGGTTATCCTAATATGTTGTACTAAACACAAATTGTAATGAAATGCATATTTTATAATTTTGTTTCAGTATTTGTAAATCAATCGAAAATACTTAAATAATAATACTTTAAGAAAAAACATTTTCAACTATTATTCTTTAAAATGTAGATTATTTCACTAAACTGTTGGGATCACAGGATGATTTCCAAGGTGAATATAACCTGCATTAAAACAATAATTGTTCAATAAAACAAATAAAACTGCATTGATATAGTATTTAGTCACAAAGCTAAACTTCCCCACAGTAACTAATACAAAGAGCGAACAAATTAGATCATACTTGGCTAAGGAGTTTCGATATAATGCTCCCTGAGTAACTAAGTATTTTTTATCCGAATAGGGAAAATTTAACGGTGAGACTATAATTTATGAACGACCTTTGAGCGATGCGAAAAAGACCTTGAAAATATCCACCTACATACTATGGCTAAACGAGGGTTATAAATCAGTGTAAGGAATCAGGATCAATATCTGCAGTTGATAGTTAGGGTTAGAAATTAGGGTTTTCCTGACGAACTGACATCAGCTATAATGCCAAAACTCTACTTAACCAAATGAATGAATTGATTCTGCGCCAAAATTCAAGACCTGTTTTCATAAATCTGATTGGTTTGTCCACACATTATAATCTCGTCAATCTAACTAATAAAATCACTTTCTTTTATAGAAAACTAAACAATTAAGATGATCATTCAATGATATTATCGTCAACTGATCTTTTATTCTTCTAAATCCCATAACTAATGCTTGATATATATGTAAGCCAACCCAAACAAATTAATTTCAATTCTTAAGGAAACTAATTCTCATATAAGAAGGGTTGTTGTGGATGTTATAGTGATTTCAATGGTTGTGATCATGAGTCACTTGAAGCTAGACCACCATGGAAAACCTGGAATCACTGGACGAGCGTTTCATCATATTATGGAACTTCTCAGCAGTGCTCATCCACAATCCGAACCCAGAACCTATCAGTCTCGCGCGCGAGCAGTGAACCTCTAGACCACTGATCTGCCCGGCATCCAACATTGTTAATGTGTAACTTTAACCAATCCACGAAATTAAGTGACATATCCATCATTGTCTTCAGTGAGTTGCTATGTTACAACAGAAATTAATTCTGTTTATAATCTGGTCATTAAATGAATGTTAGTAAGAAAGAGTAATAATACTGAAGTATCAAAATGACCATTTTCATGTTATTACTTTAATACACTATTAGTTAAACTAGACTGAATGCCCAATTGTTAAATAGGGATTTTCACTATTCGTTCATCTTCTATTAATGATGTTTTAACACTCCCACTTGTTTCTATGTCATCTATTACATATATATATATAATAGTTTTCTTTTCGATATTTCCATTATGTTGATGTTTCATTTACTCCTTTCTAAGTAACTGTAATACGATTAGGTAATATAAATAAAAAAATAATATTTCCCCCCCCCAAAAAAAAGAAAACTTAGAATATATAGTATGGATTATAGACAGAAAAGAATGTGAGGTCTAATGAGACAAAACATATATTTATATATATATTTGAAAGGAACACACTTTAACCAATCAGAATTTAGTGAATGAGTAGAAAAATTTCCCAAGAAAAATTCTTTCCTCAAATAACTTGAAGTATCAAATCAATCGATAAATAAGGTCATTTGAGAATTGAATAAAAGTAAAATGATTTATAAAATTTACATTTAATACAATTTCTTTTTTATTCATAAAATTATAGAGCTAAACTACAATTTGAATTGAAGAGTGAGAGAGTTTAATGTAAGTGTTAATTATTGAAAATGATATTTATTATTATTATTATTACTCAGTGATACATCTTGTTGTAGATTTACTTATATCCAAGTACATTGACTTTATGCCTTAGATATATATATAAATTTATGTATAATCTACCTTTGTAACACAAAGTTCCATTTCAGTATTTTTCATCTTCTACTATAAGTTTAAATAGTTAATAACTTGATCATAAGAGAATCATTTGAAATGGAGAAATATATATTTCGTTCAATTTCTTTTGATCAATGTTATTCTCTGAGTAGACCATAGTTTAAACAAAGATCTCTATTCATAATCATAATATTGAAAGGTGATCACTAGTAGAAAATCAATGTATTCAAATTTGTATGATCAATTAATATTTACTGTAGTTCCTTGTTGGGAGATGTTGGGAGATGCAGACTACTTAGTTGGGGTCCACGTGACTATTGTAACCAATGGTTGTAGACTCTTGGTGACATGGCTCAGAATCGATCACGATGGCGTCGGTGTATACACTCCTTGTCTTCCCTTAAACTAAGAGATTAAAATTGCTTCATATCTTTCTTTCTACGAACTAATTCTTTCTTCCTGTACTGTATATCCTTATATACAATCTTTCTTTTATATATTACCACCACCGAATTAACTACTTTTATGAATCCGGTGTTCGTCTTGTTGTGTTAATGAGGTATGGCAACTTGAACCGATGCATGTGTGTGCCTGGTCCTACGTTGTAGCTGACTGAATGTAATTCCTTATAAAACTTTACAATAAAATTTATCGTATATTGTCAGAGTAAGTAAAATTTATTCTTTCAATTTCAGTTGCTTATATGTTTTTATATAAGTTTAACTCGTTCTATGAGGATAACTGTACAAGACAAAATTATTAACCAAGCTCACAGATATTTTATCCGACATTCTTCAGCTTAACTATTAGGTTAATAATAAATAACAAAGAACCTGAAATATATGTACATCGAGTCACAACAGTTATTTGGAATCATCGTGATGAATACCAAGGTAGTAGAATTGATACCTGTATCAGTGATTGTAAATATTAAAAAAACTATTAGGCATAGACAATATTATTCAGAAATCACACATGTAATTCCGATTAATCTAATAATGCTGTGGTGCGTGCTACTTATATTGATATAAGTAGTATATAACGCGAGTCAGGAATGTAATGTCTGGCAGCAGAAGATTGGGAAGATCAAGAAAGGAAGAACGAGGATAGAAAGCAATAAGTATAGAAATACAAGAACAATGAAGTCCGAGACAATTATTGAACATTTGGCAAATTAGGTATTATAGTATGGTTTTTTTTATTATTATATTATCACTACTACTAACACCCAACTCATATCACCTGTGATGTAATCTTGTTATTTATGATGATTTCAATGTTTTGAATTTACTGTCCCTTATAGTAACTCTGAAATAACTCATTTGTCTAAAACATTGTATTTATCAGTTGTCATAATGAAAATTTCTTTAATGCTTATCTTGGTTATAGAAAAAAAATGAATAAGAATGAATTCACTACAATTGATACACAATATGCTAATGAACAAGAACATCAAGGTATCTCATCAATATTTGCATCAAGAAAAAATTTCATGGAATGGTTTCGATCATTCTTCGATAGATCTTTAGTAATATATCAACTGTTTTACTTTTCATATTATGCTGCATTTGGTTCACTTTTCCCGCTTATATCAATCTATTTTAAACAACTTGGATTGAATGCTTTACAATGTGGTATTTTAAGTGGGACAAGATCATTAGTCGAGTGTTTTGCAGCACCATTTTGGACTGCATTAGCTGATAAATGGAAGAAAGGCAAGATGTTTGTTTTAGTTAGTTTATTCTTTGCCATGGCATTCACACTTGGATTAGGATTTGTACGTCCAACACCAGAAGGTTGTTTAGTAAGTTTACCAAGATCAACAAGATATAATGCTACAACAAGTGATGATGAAGATGGTTTAATTTTGAGCATTATTCAACCTTATAAAGCATCAAGATATGATGATGTAAAATCTGTTGATATGGATAGAGATTTAGCGTTGAAAATCCGTAATCAATTAGGACAATCACCACTTTATCTAAACACTAAACTATTAGTATCTCCACCAAAAATGAAAGCGACACGTTGGGGTACAGGTGTTGGACAACAGACTGGTGATCAAAATCTTTATGCAAGAACACAAGCCTATCATGATCCTACCCAATTTCCACCTGGAAGTCTTGTTATGCCTCTTTATTCCACAGTTGTTTATGGTCAAACAAAAATCAACCAAATATTCATTGTAATCCTATTATTGGTACTTTTTAGTGAAATTATGTCATGTGCTGCTATACCAATTGTTGATGCAGCAGTTTTACAACAAAGTGGAATAGATTTTGTAATAATTACGAAAAACAACGTATATTCGGTTCGATTGGTTGGGCATTATCAATGTTTTTTATTGGATTAATATTAGATCATTCTACAAGTTTTCCTGACTATCCATGTTTACATCCTGGTTATCGTGAAAAAAATTACATGGTATGCTTTGCAACATATTCAGTTTTTATTGCATTTGCTTTATTCATTGCAACACAATTCACATTTCAATATGAAGGTGATTCAGAGAGTATGTATTTTAAATTAGTGAAAGATAAAATGGCTAGAACATTTTTGGGTAGAACAACAAAAAGTCGTTCAAAGTTAGTAAATGAAGATGATGAAGAGGATGTTGGTGCAAAAGATTGGAAACCTGACCCATTACTCCATGAAATAGAAACAGGAAAAGTTACTAGCAAAGAGAAATCTAAACACAGTAATGAAGAAATCTTAGAACAACAACTTGGAATCAAAATTGTTCAAAAAAATGATGGAGTTAAGTTGAAAAGTCAAAATACGATGGATGCACAACAAGAAGAATTAGCTGCTGCAGCTCAATTAAAAGTAAGTAAACTAATGGTAATTCTGATCATAACATGTATGGGTTTGTTTAAGATTAGACAGTGAATTATTGAACTACTAAGTAACAATAAATCGGCTTTTCCATTCTATTATCGGACGTCACAGAATTTATCACCAACTTGTCAACTGTAGTGGCTTAGTTTCTTTAATCAATCACCTTAATAACCGTTATTATATAACTCTTCAACATTTTTTGGATTCAAAAGGTAATAAGAAGCGGCGAATACAGTTAACTAGCGGATAGTACAGATAACAAAGTTATAAGCACACCGTGCGAATTTGGAGCAGAGACGCGGATGTGTGTTTGCGAACGAAAACAGGGGCAAATTTCTAGTCAAATTGTATCAAGGCGCAGCGAGGCAAGGCAAATGTTAACAATAAAATTCAAGGACACATATATATGTGAAAGAGTGATTCATCGGGCGATATTTAAGCGATTAACATTTTAGCTAGAGAGAGATATGTGATCACACGTACACGTTTATACAGACATGAAAATGATCATAATTGTACAAAGAAATATGCAACTTGTTACTGTTCGAATAACATTGTCTGTTAAATAAGTTAATAAAAGGGCTTGACAAAATTATTAAAATTGATTGTGGGAGAGTTGCTATAAGCTTCAGATATTCAGATTCAGAAATTCGAACACTTCACTTCTACCTGAAGTTTATGCTGATGATGTCGTTCAGAAGAACGATGAAAGCTTCACGACCAAAACATCCAGCTCAGAGAACAGAACTCCACCACAAACTCAATTAAATGATAACTATTGTATGAAATATTATGGTATTGATGAAAAAAATTATGCCATTTAAAAAATTGTTTACTAATCGTGTAACCACGATCATATTTGACATTTTAATTTGATTAAGTCTTTAACAATAACTAATCAATGAATGTATTTTCTGTAAAAGAAAAACAGTATACTTGTAATATGAAATTTCTAAACATCTGATTACGTACCATTCCTGTTACGTGAAAGGAATGTCCTAGATTCGATCTATAGTCATTTTATGGATGTTTATTATTAAAGAGACTTGAACTAAGAAAAATCATTTATTTTGTTTCGTCTAATTCTTAATTATCATTTAGCTGATTATCCGTTCATGATAAAATTTCACTTCAAACGTCCAAAAACTCCTATTTCAACATTGATTGATAAATAGTGACATTGGTGAGACTATAATTTATGGACGATCTTTTTGCAACGTTAAAATGACCTTGAAACTGTCCATTTACTTACTAGGGTTAAATGAGTGTTATAAAATAATGTGAGGAACTAGGATTGGGATTTACAGTTACATGTTAGAGTTAGAAATTATATTTAATGTTTTCATCACGAATTGACATAAGGTATAATGCCGAAATTATATTTAGCCAAATGAGTGGATGAATCTCGTACCAAAATCTAAGACCTGTTATCTTAAATCCGATTGGTTTATCCATAAATTAGTCTTGCCGAGATATCTTCTTAATAAATGACTAATAAATATCATTTATTTAAACGTTTTATCTGATCCAGTGAATATTCGGGTTTATTATTTCTATTGTAATAATTTCATTTAGAAAAACTTTTTTTGTTCTATCTACTTTTATACTGATCATCATCAAAGAAATCTGATGAATTATCTTTCAACCCAAAAAGATTTAAAAAAGGAACTTTAAATTAACTCTTTACTACTACAATGAAAGAAACAGGTTTTGTTTCATCATAAAAAACACTACAAAATGTTTTCTGATTGAGATCATGAATCAATTTGTGTTAGAACACCGTTGAAAACCGCTCGCGGGATTATGGATGCGCACTGATAAAGGAGTCACATAATAAAGCGAAACGGTCGTTCAATGCCTTCAGGTTTTCAGTGGTGGTCTAACATCAATCTGTTTATGATCTCAACCAAAAACTTAATCATCTCTACAACCCAATACTGATGGAAATTTAAAAGAATTCATTCAAAAAAAATCTATAAAAATACGACGAGTAAGTATTTGTTGAAACAAATTTCCTAAAAATAAATTGTGGAAAACACAGTTCTCCAATAAGTTAAGATTGATTTCTGTAGAAGAGATAAACCTAGTACTGTAGTGAACAAGAACACAAGTGTGGATAATCAAATGTATTTAAACACAAAATTACAAAAACTCTTAGTAAAATCTGAGAATCATACAACTAATACCTCATTTGCAAAATGTCAATCAATGGTCTCAGAATTGACTGTTCCTTTTTTCCATACCAATCACTCTCTGTTCTCGTTCTCATCTCTTCAATCTTCTCAACCTTCTGCCGCCAGACATTCCGCTTTCTATTGGTGATACATACTACTTATATATGTCGACATCACTAGCACACACCACAGTACTCTTATCTATTTTGAATTTCATTTCAGTATATACTTGTCAATATTAGATAAATACTATTCACTAATTAGACTTTTTGATACTTGGAAGAGTTCATAACCTGTTACTACCATATACAAATTCTAATTCTAGCATATTTTTCCATACTTATGTCATTGTTGCTAAAATATCATACCTATCCAGTAACCTTTTTCATATGGAATAAATCGTTGTTTGATTGATAACATTCATTGGACATGACTTAGATTCGTTTTGATTTAACACACATAAGTTTATCATGTATGTTGGTTGATGATTCAGAAATCTTATTATCAATCAGAAATATATATATTGTAATTCGCCTGTATTTATATAGAATATGAGAATAGAATCTTATTAAAAACTTTTAACTGATAGCAATGTTTAACAAAATAAGTAGTGTCTTCGTCCTAATCATTCATGTTTATAGAGTACTGAAATGAAATAATTTAAGTAGTTTATACCTCTGATAACAAATCAAATGAAATAATAAAATACTGAAATAACTACGTTAATCAAATGAACTAATTAGATTCCAAAACTGATCTACAATTGTCAACTGAATATATTTCAACATAATGCCAGAATCAGTAATTAACCAATGAAGCATATGTCTAATTCTTCTTCTTTCTCTCTCTCTCTCTCCATATATATATATATATATATATATATTTATATTATATATATAATATAACGAAAATATACCTACGATCCCAATATCAAATAGTATAGTCACACTTTACTTGTCACTTTACAAACGAGTAATCAAGGATGAATATGAAAGTTATAAAACTCTTCAGTCACACAAGAACATAAAATAAAAAAATTACAGCTGTGTTGATGAGTTTTGATAGTCTGTATTTCTCACCATTCCTATTCTCACTAACATTCGTAAATTGGTTGAAGTTAGACATTAACACCGATGGATGATGGTCCAGTGGTCTAGAGGTGAAGTGTTCGCGCGCGAGGCTGATAGATTCTGGGTTCGAATTCTGCAAGGCGAGATTGTGGATGCGCACTGCTGAGGAGTCCCATACTAGGATGAAACAGCCGTCCAGTACTTCCAGGTTTTCCATGGTTATTTAGCTTCAATTAACTCATGAATTCAACTATTAAATTTAAACAGTAATTACAATTTCATACACATAATTCCCTTTATTCTCTTAAAGAGAGCAACAACAAAGATTGGTGCAGAATAATATGAATTCATTTTATTTCGTTAGGTTCTCATCAGCTGCTTACAACTTAAAATATTTAAAATTCAACATTATTACAGATATTGACATACTTATACCTAAGAGTGTGATTAAGGATGAATACATGTGTATCATGATGTAGCGAAGATTCCGATAGAGTTAATGAGGTCATAACATTTTGTCTCGATTAAATAAAGTTTGAGAGGGAAAGTTCCGGAACACTGAAATAGTGATTAGAACTCATGAACTGACTTTATTTTAATTGTGATCCAAAGAATCTATTTCACATTACTAATAAGAATAATAAGACTATAGTAACTGATCTTCAGAATGAATTATCATAATTTTCAATCAATCAAATAATCTTTAATATTCAGAATTCTATTAAAATTTATATAAATATATATTCTTATTTTTTCTAATTAATACCAGGTAACAAATTGGTTTTATGCATTGAAACAATTTCGTCAACCAAGTTTATTGGCATTCTTATTCGTGATATGGTTTATGGGTTTGGGTTTAGGTCAAGTATTCACATTTTTATTTTGGCATATGCAAGAATTAAATGGTTCACCAACATTATTTGGTATTGCATCAATTATCAATCATGTATCAGAGATATTAATGTATCAATTTAGTAAACAAATAATTGATAAAATTGGTTAGTGTTTAAGATTAATACTTGTTGAATCTTAGTTATTAAACTGTATAAATTGTTTAAGTTTTAATTTATATAGAAAATTCGACCTAATAATTGATTATCTGTATATCAATGAATTATTTTTCCTGGAAGGAGCTGGAAAGGATTGCCCAGGACAGGGTTGGATGGAGAATGTTGGTGAGCGGCCTATGCTCCTTCACTAGGAGTAACAGGCGTAAATAATAAATAATGAATATAATAAATATCAATGAATGAACCTTGAAAGGGATTAAGTTTTGCATAGATGAAATCAATGAATTGTTCATTACGATAGATCAAATTTATCAGCGTTCCTTAAATTTTTCAAATATGTACGTAAAACTTTGGGCAACTAAATGCTTTGTGAAATACTTAAAGGGTACCAAGTTTTTTTTTCAAAAAACTACTACTCTGTAATGTATCGTAGTTTTCGATTTGTTACTAATACTAATATCAACTGAAAAATCATTGAAAGCAAGGAGATTCTAAATAACAGCTTCACATAACTTCACATGAGATAGAACGTTCAGTATATGTGCCTCGTCCTACGTTGTAGCTGCTTGACTGACTATTCATTATCGAAAATCAGTGTTATTCTTAGTTGTATACGATTCGCCTCAAATAATAAAATGGCATCAATTATTCCAACAACAACAACACTCGTATTATATCTTGGAAAGACTAAAAAAGATAACATCACACGACTTCCAGATTATTCATAAATATTACAGTTGAAAACAACAAGTACACTATAGTGTTGTATTGCATAAATCTACCTATAGTCTTAGTTTAAACTAAGCCTTAAGAGAGAATGGGATAAATACGACTTAGTTTGTATCGATTTTAACTACAATCCATTGACTGATATCTCAATAGTGGTGGATACGCATAATCACCTGTCTGTCTATCCATCACTTTGTATCTTAGGTTTATCAATTTGAGGTTTCAAGTTGAAACAATAAAAATCTACTTTGGATTTAAACAAATATCCAGCATATTTCGGTTATCACAAATAAATTAAGCATTAATTTTTATTAAACGGTTAGAATAAAAGGATTAGATTGATTTGTACCACTGGAAATGAAAAAAATCCCTGCCAATACTCATTATTTCATAAGACAATTACTGTCAAACAAGTTACACCATAGATCATATACTAATCGGTAAGCAGAGCAAATGATAAGATTTACTATTATAATCTCTATATTCATCTTCATGATAGTATCAAAATTGTTATAAATTGTAGCCGCTATATGCCCTGCTAATGTGTAACGTAATCATACCGCCAATTAGAGAGCCGTGAATTATCAATCAGACCTATGACGTATAAACACGTACGAGCAGTCTAGAGTCCTTATTGGTCCTGCTTCCTGCCTAGCCCAATCAGTCGAGTCCAGAACACAAACCTCAGCCTATGCGATACCAATAGTTTATTTCAAACATACTGGGTTTTTATACCAATCAAACAGACCACATCGTACCATAAAATATGAAACAACATTTGTACAAAATTTGGCCAAATGTGGCTGTGACTGTGGAGGGTAGTAGTGATTAATAGACAGGGCACAATTCAAGAATGGTAAATGGTGTAATAATAGTTCATAGATCAAAATAAAGCTCATAATAAGCGGGACATGAATATGAATAGCTTTGTTATCTGACAATTATACGATAAAAATATACACATAGTACTGGTCAATAAATGGATCTCAAAAGTTACCATTCATTATACTTATCGGGACATAACAAGAATCCTACTAAATTCCATCTTTGATAAAATCGTTTTATTTGATTGTAGTGTCGGTTATTATGTTAAGCCCATATACCTTATTCTAGCTTTCGGACAGACCATTTCATTCATTCTACTTGAGTCACATTTTGACCTTGTTATTTATTCGCTTATCAATCTTGACTGTTTTTATATGAGCGCGTAGGTGTGTGTACATTTCTTATCCCATTACTCATCACATATCTGTAACTTACTTTTGTGTAACTATAATTATTGATTAACACTTGGTTAAATGGGTGTTGGCTTACCCACCATCTCCACTCTGCGTCGTTTCTCTTCTCTCTACCCCATTCGCTTTACATGCAAAGTATATGTATTCACAAGTCCAATCTCGTTATTTGACTTATTTAATTCCATTATTGACTAACCCGATTTAAGTCGATGATTATAAACGAGGATAGGCGATAACAAACATTCATTACGATCGAATTAAATTCAAATCTCGTGCCACCAAAGTGGAGAGCCTGTCAACAAACATCGTCCGATCTAAACGACGACAAAATAACGGGTCCCACTAAAAGGTGAATGCTATGAAATTTCAAAGATTTGTTTGTTTTTTAATTCTTAGCAGATATAAACAGAAAAATTAATGAATTATAGAGCACTGAAAATACTTGATTATATTTTGATACTCAGCATCTTAGAGAATTAAGCCTCTCTAATAAGATAGTAATTCATTATGAATTATTTCAAGCCTTTCAAATGAATACTGTGAAACTGTAGGAAACAAGATATTATGATAACAAAACGATTATATGAATGAGCTAAAGCTGAAAGATAAGAACGACTTAATTTTAAATAATTTGACAGGATGATTTTAAGCTCAAGACGTAAACTGAGATTTGGTCGTGTGTAGAAGCATGGATATAAACTGTTTAGAAGTTAAAACATTTTGATTTACCGAGATGAATCATTTAAACTCATGTTTCTAGCCAAAGCTATATTTATATTTATGTGTATATTACGTAATTATAATATGACAGTTCAATTTTTTCTAAATCTTTAGGTCATATAAAAGTTCTGTATTTGGGATTAGTTGGCAATGTGGCAAGATTTCTTTATGTCTCTTGGATCACAAATCCATGGTGGATACTTCCATTTGAATTTATACAAGGTGATCCAAAATTGTGTATTATTACTTTTTATAGAAGAATGTTAATTTTGGCAAGACTCTAATTTAGGGACGACCTTTCAACGAATCCAAAATGACCTTGACAATTATTAGCCAATCAGAAGACAGTCAGTATAAAGTATAAATATAAGAAAGTAATGAATTACAGTGGATATTCTTCTTTCACATGATTTAAAAACTTGTTAAGGTTTGATGAAGGTTCAGAGGTTCTGAATTCATAATGCATACGGTATAGAAACTCGTCCATAGGGTTAGGTTGGCGAGATTCTAATTTAGGAACGAGCCAAAAAAAGCGTTTGAGCAATTTCAAGGTCACGGAGCCAAGTTTAACACGTGATGCTAACATACGATCGGTTTACAGCGGACTTTAGAGCAGCGGTGTTTATTGAGAGGCTACAACCCTAACCCTAACACTATGGACGAGTTTCTATACTGTATACATTATGAATTCAGAACCTCTGAACCTTGATCAAACCTTAACAAGTTTTTAAATCATGTAAAAGAAGAATATCTATTGTAATTCATTACTTTCTTGTAATATATTTTTACTTTATACTAACTGTCTTCTGATTGGCCAATAATTGAAATTGCTCAAACGCTTCTGATTGTCTCGTCCCTAAATTAGAGTCTGGCCATGAAATTAGCTATGATCCCAAAATACTATATGGATGAAAGAATTCCGCGCCGAAATCCAAGACTTGTTATCTTGAACCTCATTGATTCTTCCATAGATTATAGTCTCGCCGTCAAAGTTTTATTTTCAAATTGTTTCACGGTTATTCAAAGCATAAAAAACATTACACTGGAACTGACGTCATGATAGAATAGTGATTATTTCAGTACAAACATGGGCTTATATTAGACACAATAATGGACGTCTCCAACTTAATCCAAAATCGTCTTGGATATATCCATAGATGGAGCTGCCAAACACATAGTAAGGCGGAGAGTTCTACTCCTTGACAAATAGATGTGGCAATCGAAATTCAACTGTTGGTAGTTGACTCTGAGTTTGTAAACATTTTAAAGTATTTCAGTAAGTTAGTCCTTAAAGTAAATGTGAAAATTGAAAGAATGATGAATACAAGATAATAATTCAGTAACTTAAAGATTGTAATCAGTTGAATCCTTTCTAGTGATTTGATATGTTTAATTTTTTTGTTATACAAGAGCTTTGAGATATGATAGGTCAAATTTGTCTGTGTTCCTTAAACGTTTTCAACACTTAAGTAAAATTTTTGGCAACTAAATGCTCTGTGAACTGCTCAAAGGGTACCAAGGTTTTTTAAGAGCTACTACCCTGTAGTGTATGATAATTTTCGTATTTCTTTTTATCAATACTAATGTTAACTGAAAAATCATTGAAAACAAGGAGACTCTAGATAACAATTTCATGTCTGCTTAAAAAGGGTGCACACATAACTTTACATGGGATAGAACATTCCATTTTCAAGTTAAATGTTCCATATGTTTATTTAATGCCTCAATTAAGGTCAATTTGTGACGTAATATTGTTTAATGAATAAGGAAATTCTCAAAGAATCATCTTATTTAAGAATATCATCATAGCCATAATTATTGTCCATGATTTATACATCATAGATTATCCATAATTTTCAACATTCATCTATACAAAAGTTAATATAACGTGTATTAATAAGTTGGTGATTAATATATGTTTAGCAGGTCAACTTAGAATATGAAACACACTCAATTGGTTCCAACACGTTCTGTTCAATAGTATCTTTGTTTTACTATTCATTATATGAATTATTTGAATTTTGAAACGCTTATGAATAAATTATTAACATTTTTTATCTAACTTATCCATCTCATTTGAATTATTCTTATTGCACAAGCAAGTGGATAACGTGATAGCGACTGAAGCGAACGGTACTGGGTTCGAGTCCCAGAGTAAACATCAACGCTGACATGCAGGCACATCTAGCCGACGAGTTCCAAAGTAGGACAAAACGCGCGTCCTGGATTCCACTGCTAGCCACTATCCATCTTTGCTTAATTATTCTTATTGTTCACTTTTTAATTAAACCATTTATTATAAATTTAAAAAGATGGCGGTTAAATTTTGAAAGCAAAAATAAAAACAAACCTTAGTGATAAAAATATTGAAATAAATCTTTAACTGGTTGAACTCATATTATTCAAACTTCAATGTTATCAATCAATATAATTATGATTATACTTCACTTCACCAGTGGACTAATAAAGCATCCAGCTTCTAGTTGATAAGACTGCGGTTTCAAATTTTTTTAAATAGTAAACCACATTGTACTTTAAATTATCATCTCTGAAAGAGTAACTGTTACGTCAAAATGAAGACGTTGAATTACCCCAAATCTGATACTTAGAAAGTAAAAAGATATTTCACGAATGAATAATAGACAAACCTATGAAGAAATCTTGGTGTATAAATAATAAACTTCTGCATTATTCTGAGGTATACATTTTTAAGGTAGAATAAATCAGTTACTTTTTAGAAAACATTTACATAGTTTAACATACCCACCTTAGTTGGAAAGTGCTAAATAAATTTACCCATCGGGTGTTTCGTAAAATCTCCAAAAATAGTAAACCTTAAACAGAATAACGATAGTTTTAAGGGTGAATCATAGAACAACCAACATAGGCTTGGTAATTAGTTTAAGCCATGGCATTCAGTTATGAGTCTCATACAAAACCTCAGCTCCTTCAGGATATTAGAAACATCTTGTTGACGTGTAACAACCAGCATAAAACCTGAATTTTGTGTCTTCTGTCATCTGATGAAAACCAACTAGCATTACAACATCGTGCTCATGATTTCAGGTTGCTTAGACTAATGATTACATCGGGGTTTAATCGATAGAAACCGACCAGAACTAAGCACTAGACAAATTTGATATTCATTATCACTCAACGAACAACTAATGTAGACAGCCAATATCTTTATACTTCTAACCGAACGTGCTTTTCCACAGATTAGAGTAAAGGTGAATTTTCAATCAGTTTCATGGACAATAACTTAAGGTGGAAAACCCGTTCTAATAAGTAACAAGAAAGAAATTCAAAAACACAAACAAATTAAATTTCAATGAACACGAATTAGGGTACATCAAGTTAACTTCCTAAAGTTTTCTATGTTTAAGGAGATTTAGTTTGTTACTCATAATGGTAAGCATTATATTATATTATGATTAAAAGATAATGATTCTATCAGATTCCTTATGATATTATGTTCTTCCTCTGAAATATTTTTCAGGTCTTACACATGCTGGTGTGTGGGTAGCCTGTTGTTCATATATTATGCAAGCATTCCAGCCGGAATTTCGTTCGTCAACATTAGGATTTCTTCGTGCAATACATTATGGTATGGGACGTGGTCTAGGTGCCATATTTGGTGGACTTGTTATATCTAGTTATGGTAAATGATAATTGTGATTTTTGTTTTGTAATATTATCCTCTTTATTTGGTAATATTACATTGTTTAAATTAAATGGTTCAATTGAGAATCTTTCATTGTCCTTCTTGATATTATCATTATTTCACGCATATTTAATCAGTTCGTCCTGTTAATCTTGCTTGTGACATGTGTTTTCACAGGTTTCTTATGTCATTAGATTTAACATGAATACCTTTTAGGTTAACCCTTGACCATGCAATTGATTACCTATTTACCTATAAAATGCATTTGAAGAAAATTCAAGAAACAAGTAAATTTTTAATATTCGGCTACAGATTTTGTTTTTGTTTTTCTCAACTTTACAAAAGAAGAAAATTGTATGAAATTTCTGTATGGATTGATAAACTAGATTCATAATTTATTATTTATTTATTTATTTAAACACATAAACATTGGTACAAGGAGGCACCGAATATTATATATATATATATATATATATATATATATATATGCCACACTTCATCATTCGATTTGTGTGAGGGCTGGAATACTGTACGTAATCTTCTTAGAAGGCCACTGCCCGAGCCTTTGACCTAGTGGTCTTGTGCACAATACAGTGGGTCAACGTCAAGAGATGCGGTCACATGATAGCCGTTGACTAACAATACGTTCATACGCCATTTTTCCCCTCAGGACCCTCGAGCCAGTGTGCACCATTGATTTGGAATCAGGGTTTTCCAACTCCCCTAGGTAGATCCTCCGCACTTATCAGCCCGGCTTTTTGTTCTCTCAATTTCTTAAAAAACACCCACACCGCGAGAAAGCAGTGAGTAGGACTTCCTTGCAAGTGGTTGTATGCACGTGGTCATGTGAGAGCATTTCGAGAGCGAAAACTGAATCTCCTTACTCTCAGCCGTACCAGAGTATTTTGGAGCTGATTCATAATGATGTCTGTTGATTGCGAGTAACCTGAAATCTCATGTTTTTAAAAGGTTTCTGGTACACCTACTTCCTCGATTCACAATGCAAACATTTTTCCAATCAAATTTATATCCATATTTGTCTGCGTAAACTGATATAGATGATGATATTTTGTATTGCTTCACTGCTAGTCTATTTACATTTAAGTACATATGGAGAGTGTTTCCACTTTACATAGTGTAAGGCTTCTCGTGAATGGTCAAATTTATGTTTTACAATGTTTCATTTGTTTTATTCTTCTCTTGTATTTTTCTATTTGAAAAAGAATGAGATGAACTGATTTTAAGGGTTTGTGGGAGAGATGGTTTTTAATAGATTTTAAAATTATTATACTGATTTAGATAAAAGCTTTTCACATATTGTAGGATGATATGTTTTTCTTGATTTTAGGAGTGTTTCTCCTTTGGTATATCAATTTTCTGGACATCGTATTAATAAAGTTACTTTCTTAGACGATGAATAGAAAATAGGTTTCATGTATTTGTCATTTTTTGCAGATCTAATTCGTGAAAAGTCTAAAAAATGAATTATACACAGGTACTTAATAAATAGCATTTACACATATGAAGTACATTTTACTAGTATGAGAAGAAAGTTGATTTCTGACACAGTGATTTGAAACTAGTTGACTTTCGACTACACTCCATCTCACGTCTAAACAAGATTCTGTCTACTATAGCGTACTTAAGTGGGAGATATCGTTCATCCCTAAATAATATTTGCAATTCAAAAGTTATTATTAGAAACGTTTTATTATTTCGGTTGAAATCACTAGTCCATATAAGGTAGATCACCATTGAAAACGTGGAAGCACTGGACGGACTCACCAGTAGTGCTCATCCACGACTCTGTCACGCTCCCGAACACCTAACATCTAGAATACTGAGCCAGCATACAGCGATATTAATGTCTAACTTTTACTAATTCATGATATTGTACAACCCTTCATCTATCTCCTGTAGTGGATAATTGTCTCACACCCGATAAGGATCGATTATTTGTTAGTTACATTTCACATTGAATTACATGCTAATAACAGATGCCTAATGTCATAACAGATAATGGTTTTCATTATTTATTTACGTAGTTTGTAGAGTTTACTTCAGTATGAAGATTACTTTAGTTATGGTTCAATGGCTTTATATTTTTTCTGTGATCTGAAGATTCTGTAATTGACCTTATATAGAAGACGAATTCAAACTGCTGACGAATCATATGTTTAGATAACTCAAAACAAATGTATTAACTATAGAGCTATATTATCGGTAAACATAAAGCATCGATTCTAGTCGATCAGGAACACTAATTTTAGGTTTTAGCACAAAATTTAAGTACCACGCTTAACAAGTAGTAAAAATACCTTTTCATTACTGATTAAGATGTTTAAAATGATAGTGAAAAAATTATTTTTGCCACCACAAAGTTAAATATTAATTTTAAAAGTACTAAATGCACAATTCTATCTTTATAGATGGTATATAACAGATAAACTGACACTTTAAAAATCATAACCTTAACTAATTAATTCTGAAACAATCCTTAACCTACTGACATTATATTTTGTGAACGAACTAATCAGAAAACACCTCTTAGAGCTTGGCTTGGATTTGATAGGTATAGAGTATTTTTACATGAGAGATGATGTCAGTTCATGATGTAAACCCTAATTTTAATCCTCTAATTCTAAATATCTCAACTTAACTAGCGACAATATAAAGACTTAAACGTTCAGACTTGTTCTTATAAGGTTTCGATAAAACGCATAAAGTATATCCAGATAGGTGAAGCCATTTACAAACAGAATAACCTGTAGAGAATCTTAATGAATTCGTTAAATATACGGACTTTGTATTAACTATTCATTTACAAAATCTATTTTATGATTAACTAAGAACTGGCTGAAAATTCATCACATTCATTTTGATCTCTTTCTTAGATCGTACTCTAACAACTTCTACCTTTCATCACATAAAATGAACAGTTGAAGTACTTATGTAATAATGATCAGTATATATAAATTTCTTAGGAAGAAAAATTCTTCTTTCATTATACATTAAACATGCGAATAATGTACGTATCAAAAGATCACTTTTATAGATATACATTATTTTCTAGCAACTTATAAACAATCTACTTTTGTTTCAGTCTAATTTAATTTTCATTTAACTTTCAAAGAAATCATTTTATTAATAGTTACGTAATATGAATAAGGAACTGATTAAACAGGAATACCTAATTTGTTAATACCTTACTTTCTCATATGGTTACCTTATCATTCAGTTTCACTAACTGATGTGAACAGGGAAACAAAAAGCCCTGACAAACTACGAAAGCTATTTCTCGGGACGTTATTTCATTTTATTCAAAGCCTGTAAAACACTAACATATATTTTTGTACTGAGGCAGATACCTGTCTCTACCCGACACGGATTAGCTCCACTGGTCACGACTTCTCACTAGAACTCCGAGAATTCCCTCACGAAGCTAGTCACTAGTGAGCACATGTTAATTATCAGTATGGGGGTAGTGGAGATTGTTAACAGGTATCTGCCTCAGTACAATGCAAGTTGGTCGCGCAATTTCGTGAATTGGTTGATGTTAGACACTAACATCATTGGATGCCGGCTCAGTGGTCTAATGGTTAAGTGCTCAGGCGCGAAGCCAGTAGGTCCTGGGTTCGAATCCCGCGGGGTGCGGGATCGTGGATGCGCACTGCTGAGGAGTCCCGTACTAGGACGAAACGGCCGTCCAGTGCTTCCAGGTTTCCAACGCTGGTCTAACATCAATTGATTCATGATCTCAACCAAAAACTTAACAATCTCCACAACCCCCATACTGATAATTAACATTTATTTTTGTCCCTAATCTATGCTATAGAACATATGCTTTCGTTCGATGTATGATTCATCGCCATACCCTTTTCTGTTCCGAAACTATTGTAATTTAAACATAGTATTTTGCACCCTATTTTCTACGCTAATTCTCGGCTTTGGACATAATTGTGTTTTTCCTAATTATTGTACTCTATGGTCGGGTTAGTCACCTATTTATTCATGTACCTTTTTACACTAATCGAAAAAGTCAGAAATCAGGATATCGGGAATAGATCGAGTAGTGTTCCAGTTGTCTTGTCTTCTCTCATTCGTGTGTTTGTCAACCGTCAGGTGATAGAATAGTTTTCTTCTCTCTACCCCACTTCGAACTCACGTGTACTAGCCTCAAGATTAGGTCGGTCAGCCCATCGCACCAAGGTCTTAATCTGGATTAGATAAGTATCCTCAGCACCAAAGGTGGGTAGACAAACCAAAGGACATAACATTAACTCGTTAATAAATGTTTTGTAGGTGATGATGAATAACTACGGGAAAGATTAAAGAACCTATTGAAATGAATACATTCTGAATAATGAGTGAAACTATGCAATGAGATTTCTGCAATATTAAAATTTCGAAATTGATAATAAACCTTGGACAATTAATAAACTTCTGAAAACCTTTAAACTCTAATAGGTTTTATTAAACCCGTTGTGAAATGTGTGTGATTCGTGTGAACTGTTTGGTACTTTACTGAAAAGTGTCTTTTAAATCACATAATTTTTGTAAGAATGACTTGATCTTATTTATACACTGTATGTTGAGACAATGTCTGTCATATCACATTTAACGGAATAGATTTGATGTAGTTTAAGCTGAACAAAACATGATGATATAAAATTACGAAACCTAAAAATCATACTTTGCAAAATATGTCCTATTTCTGACAAATAATTCTTGTGAAAAACTTCAACCTGAACGAAACGGACATGTAGTTTGCCGTTTACTTAGATTTCTATTTCTTGCTAGAAGTCATCTTACAGTAAGTCGAAGAAGTAGCATTTGTCACTAATTAAGATAGAAGCTGTTTAACTAAAAATCACTGAAGATAATGGTGGACGTATCACTTAATTTCGTGGATTAGTTGAAGTTAGACATTAACACCGTTGGATGCCGGCTCAGTGATCTAGAGGTTAAGCGTTCCCGCGTGAGACCGACAGGTCCTGGATTCGAATCCCGCGAGGTGTGACCGTGGATGCGGACTTCTGAGGAGTCCCACAATAGGATGAAACGGCCGTTCAGTGCTTCCAGGTATTCAATGGTGGTCTAGCTCCAATTGACTCATGATTTCAACTAGTAAATTATTACAATATCACAAAAAACCCCTTCTGAGAAACGTAAACATTAACGTAGAAATCCCTACACTAAATCTTTCAAATTCACTGTTGCTTACCCTCAATACTTATGAGATAAAAAATTTATACGTCAATTACTATGGACGTGTGTTCTAATTATTAGTGATGAGCTATTTAAACACATTATCAGTTAATAGATTTTCGGAGCTTTATCTGAATTTATCGTATATACATTAGGAGATAAACAAAATGCAGGAGCGTTTACTTCATCAAGACTGTAAATATGTCTTGCTTGTCAAAGTCTAATAACCCGGGATTCAACTCCTAGAGTTCCTGCTGACTGTTGATAATCATTTAACATTAGAAACCGGCAAATTTTCTTGACTAAGATATAACTCAGATCTAGGCTATAAGACATTTTCGTCTGATTATCCAACCAGTATTTTTATACCGCTGATTAGTCGGATAGGTACAAACGATTAATGAACATTTAATACTTGTTCTTTGATTAGTTAATATTGTACCGACTGACCTAGAAGAAGAATCTAATGTTAGTAACAAGAGGCTTTTTGGAAAGATAATAAACCAAACTGAACTTCCTGGTGAGACTGAAATAAATGTTTATCAATATATAACGTGAATATATTTTGTAAATGTTTACTATAAATTTTAATTACACTACTCAAGAAACTTAACGTTTAAAGTATTCTTTCTGTTAATTAACTATTTCTATCAGGAACTCCAGCAATGTTTAGGGCGTATGGAGCAGCATCAGCTTTAGTTCTTTTAGGATTTCTTTTATTGAACTATTTTATGCCGATTCCAGCGGCCAGTGAAGAATCAAATGAAGATGATAAAATGTATGGACAAATTTCATCAGACGGACGTAGTTCGAATACAGGACAATTTGGTAAGTATTGTTGTCTTTCTCTGTCTGTCATACACACACACATACTTTAAACGACTGTATGTGTCGAAAATCAAATTACTGTTATGATTTACACACACAAAATCAAGATTAAAAGTATGATTTTGGATCATTCATCAATTTGTACAGTTATCTTTTTAAGCATTTTTATACATTGATAATAAATCTTAATGGAAAAGATTCACAAATGTATCCAGTTTTCAATAGTGATTTTTCCCTATATGTAATATTAATTACCTTACTGATTTAAATCAGTACTGAGTGTCTAATGATAGAATTAAATAATTAGTTAAATAAAATACTTCCTAGTGATCTTGTTAAAATTAAAGGTTTACAAACTAAATCAGCAATAACAGTTTAATAATTGAATTCATGAATCAATTGAAGCTAGACTACCATAGAAAACCTGGAAGCACTGGACGGCCGTTTCGCCCCACTGTGGGACTCCTCAGAAGTGCGCATCCAGGACCTTTCGGTTATGTGCTTGAACGCTTAAACTCAGACCACTGATCTGGCCGGCATCCAACTGTGTTAATGTCTAACTTCAACCAATCCGTATTCAATAATCGTTAAATTATTCTTAGAAATTTACAAACAATGAACAAGTTATTCTGTAATTATAAAGAAATATAAGTAACGGTAACATTTCATAAAATGTAAAATCCTACTTTACCTATTTAGAAAAATATTCTATCTATTCAACTGAAGTCGAGAAGTTTTCCAAGATCGTTGTGCAAATATACATATGCGAGTTGAGTAGTGCAATCCTACTATAAATGTTAGATCTATTGATACCGAGTTATAAATAAGCAAATAAAAAGTATGACATAGAGTCATTTTACACTAGAAAGACGTGAAATTTTCATTTGCTAAATATCTGACTTGATGTTTACTTTGTTCTTGTTTAACTTGTGTTATTTTTAAGAACCCCCCTTTATGAAGTTTCAGACTGTCGAAAATTGAACTTTTTTATACAAATTCCGATAGTATATATTTTATTAACATTGGAAACAAACTTAATGATCAACATTATTCAACATCAAACAAACATTATCTTTTTTAAATTCACTTCGTATTGTGTACTTGAATCTTCGCATTGATATTTAGGACTGCAATTGATTAGTCTCTTATTGGTATATGTGCCTCGATATTGCCTTAATTCACAAGCATTCTAAGTGGCTAACAATGGAATCCAGGACACACGTTTCGTCCATTTGGGACGTGATGACGTTTGAAGCGACGATACTAGGTTCGGTCCCAGAGTGAACATCAAACAGATGTAGGTACATCCATCTGACGAGTCCCAAATAGGACGAAACGCGCATCCTGGGCTCCACTGTTAGTCACTAAACATCTTTTCTTATTATCCTTCTTCGCCCGTATTTTCATTCTTCATACCTTCTCCAATTCATGACAGTTTTTCTCAATAACGCTGGTCAGAAAGTCATTCTTCCTGCACTAAAATACTTGCGTAATTTGTGATACTACAGATTAGTTGTTGAATCGAATTACATTAAATTTACTTAACCTAATTTGCAAAAGAATTTTGAGTGTTATACACAAATTGTTTGATAAATTCACCAATTTCTTATTTAAATAACAGAATGATAACTGAAACTGTTTATTCAAAAAGGCCGCATTTACAACGATGTCATAATTGATGTGTATGATCGGATTAGTTAAATTGCAATTGACCAATTAGGTATTATTTCCTTAAATAAATCTTGTATCATTAAATCTACTTTGAAATCAACTTAAGAATGGACATACAACTTTATTCATTATGTAAAAGTGATAAATTGTCTTATTTGTAAAACATGTAACCTAATTAATGATCAATTTAATATATTTGATCCATTTGTAAAGCACATTATTACTTATCTTATTAATCGATTTCAAATATTATCAAGTAACTCACCTTATCAACAAAATTCTTATTAACTTATTGTTACCATTTACAATCCTTAGTCAGGTCAGGACTGGAAACTACTTGAAATCCTGTTACTAAGACAAGAAAACTTTAAAATATAAGTTTTCGGTGGCTACCTATTTAGTGTTACTTAAGGACGTAAACGAGAAATGAATGTTATTATTCATGAAATGATACGATCCTTAATAATTAATCCTAATATTTAGGTTCTAATTGATTGAAAATTGAGTAACATACAAACTAATTTCATTGAATCCTCTACAAAATTTAATTATATTTCTTTTATAAATAAGATCTTTCGTCTAAATTTGATTGGATAGTTTCACAGTATTTAGGCACTGAGTTAATGTGAGACATTAAAGAGGAAGAATGTATTTGGAAAATCTCAGCGAAAGAATTTAAAGTATATCCAACTTTTCTTTTATGTTACTATTTTTTTGTCTAAGCATGTAATCTTATTACATAACAAACCAGTTCTTTAGTAGTCACTATCACAAAAACTTAAACACAAACTGTACTTTCCATTTTAGTTAACGAATTGAGTAAATTAAAATAGAGATAGTAGAGTTCACTGAATTATAATTGAAATTATAAATAATTAGCTTAATGAAAACATATTAGATGAAAGAAACATTTTGTCGATAAATCAATTTTTTATTACTTCCCTATATTAAAAAACAAATAAAAGAACATTTGAAAAAATTACATTTTATTATCCCCTTTGTATAAAACTAGGTAATGTATTCCAAACAACTGAAGTAACTCATGACTACTATTTACAAAATGAACAAAAATCAAATCAATTCCAACGACAACAATAACAACAAATAGTTTATTCATCATTTTGGATCTAATAACATTGAAGATATAACTCATTATTGTTAAATGTTATAAGATCTATGATTTTATGGTTACTAGCAACAACAACAACAACAACAACAAACATGGTAATAGTTGGTTGTGAATGTTATTTCGAATATTTCCTTTTTCTCAAATAATACATAACTTCTTTAGCGTTTTCTTATACAAAATTAAGTAATTACATACTGAATTCTTTCTTCTTCTTAAAAACCTTCAGTTGAACATTGAAAAAGAAAAAAAACAACTTCATCAAACATAATCTTGAATAATTGTACTTTATTTCCATATAAACAATTTCTTAAATCATTTCAAATTTATTTATTTATGAATATATTGACTTATAACATTGATATAAACTTCTTTAGTTTATTTAATTAATCATTTATTGTTACAGTGAATAAATTCATGTCAAGTATAACAATGACAATGTATATTCATTGAATGGTTGTGAATTAATCCTTTCTCCTATTACAGATATATATATGTATGTACACATATGTCATTTCGCTGCTTCTTCTTCTCCTTCTTGTTATGCATTTAATCATTATACTATCTAATGCTTTGAAGAAGAAAGTACCAAAGTATTTTATTTCTCTAAAAACTGATAACAATATTTTACTGCAAGCAAGTACTTACTTCATTCATATTCTAATTCAATATACTAAATATTTATTTATATAATACATTTTTCATGATTATCAGTAATCTTTTACTCAATCACAAATAAGAAGCATTTAAAGATGTAAGTTTACTCATCATTCAAATTAGCGCATTTTTGATCAACAATGAAAACAACAACAAGTTGATAGTAATAAATAGAAATACAAAGTAAACTTATGACAAATTGAATATCTTGAACAGATAATTTTCTTTGTTATAAGACTCGACTTTTATACAGATAATCATGACTATTTCAAGTTGTGTTTCTATTTTGAAAATAAGTGGAATACTTACAATTTACAGAAAAAGGTTTAACAAATAATTGAATAATTATAATTTCATCATTTTCTTTTTTTTATTTATCAAATTACGATCATGTTTATCATCATTTTTCATATGAAACTATGTATTTCGACTTTGGGGGACGGGTAAACCAGTAAGCCAGGGGTTTTCGTGCACATGTTACACATTGTTGCGGATATTTTGTGTCATTATTTATCAGCTATCAACACCATTTTTTCCCGTCACACGTTAATTTTCGTAATGTTTATGCTTGTTACATAGCTTTTATTCCAGTTTATGAGTAGTTTGACGTATTTGTTGCTTACAACCTGAGTGAATATTAAGTCAGCCTAATGTGGTTATTTGTAACAATACAACCTCAAGTAAAATTCACCATTTTTCAAGTCAAAAATAGATCACAAATTGAGTTTTAAGGAAAATAAGCTTTAAAACCTTTTAAATTTGGTTCACCTCCTTGATTATGGTTATGATGAACATGGATTTTGGTAGTTGGTTATAAAATGTAAGTTGAGGCAGTTAAGCGTTAAACTATTTATCAATATTATATAGCTTGCTAACATACAGCCATAAACAGTCATATCTATTATAAGCAAAACCATTTTAGACTGAGTTACATATTATTATGTAACGTATCTGAGAAAAATTATGTGAGTAGCAATTAACGTTGAGTCTTTTCTATCTGCTTTCTGGACGTATACAGAAACAGTGTATAACACTACTGGAAGTGCCACATTAAGTAGTCACATGTTCTTCATAAGTAAAACGATGCGTGTTTCTTTTGAGCATGGTAACTAAACCACGTCATAGTTAATACTAATTTATAATGTGTATGTTATATGGTTTACGAATGCATTTCTGTAAACAGAATCCGCAATCACTGACGAAATTATGAACTAATTTCTAATGCACATTATCGAGTTGGTAGCTGTTTGTAAAATGTAGGTTGAAGTAATTAACCTAACCGATTGGCATCATAAACACGGTGTAAAGTAAAATAATAACATAGTGAGGCGTTCATAGTTATGTGATGGGGATTTGAAGCTTCCAGTGCTTGATACTACACAGCCCTAGAAGAAGTAGAATCAAATAACAAGTATTAATGAGTTAATTCTTAAATTCCTACTGTATTACAAACTGACTCGGCATAAGTCGAAAGCAATTCAGGCCAAACACGTGGTGAAAATTAAACGAGCAATCGAAGCTAAATAACAAATTTTTGGCACTCATATCTCCTTTGTGGCCACGGAACTCAGCAATGAAACAAACATTGGTGACGTCACAAAATATTGTATAAGATCATTTATGGAGATAAATAACGTTCAGTCTGGAAAACAAAATAATCAATAGATGGTCGATTCTTACTAACAGCAAGCACATACTACATAGGTATATGTTGCTTGTGGCTATCCTGACGAGTGGACATTAGCGTTCTTTTCTAATTGTTTATGAGTTGTGGTGATGTTATTCATCTATTTACTCATGTCGGAGTTATATGCGAAAATGAGTTGTGAAAGCATTTGCATTTCATTCACCTCCATAATTATAGTGGTGTTGAACTTGGATGTTCATAGCTGTTTGTAAAATGTAAGTTGAAGCACAGAACTGTATACAACATTACTATAAGTGCCACATTGATGGGTCACATTTTCTTCATAAGTCGGACGATGTGTGTATGTTGTGAGCATAGTAACTGAAGCAAGTTGTAATCAGCGCTAATTTGTGACGTGTCTGTTATAAAGATTATCAATGAATTTCTGTTAACGGAATCCGGAATCTCTAATGAATAGCAGTGTTTACAAATAAGACACTTATAGGTACATTCTGTTACCTGCTATTTGATTAACTTATTGAATTTGATACTGACAACTAAGTTGAATTGTTTGTCCCAAGACTGACTTTTTGTTTATCAGAATTGTATGAAGCTTATAGAATTTATTATGGAAGATCATGTGGAAAAACACTTTACAAGTTTGCGATAACAGCGTTTTATATTGCCTACTGCCATGTTCATTCACCAAATGAATTATTGAAGTAATAAGTATAACAACCATACTTAGTGTTTTACATTATAAATCCTGTAAGTATGTATAATATATTCTAAATAAAGCCAGAACAAATATTGATGCAGAATAATATAACTGCATTATATTTCTTGGTTTCTCGTAAGCTGCATACAACCAAATATGTAATAGAATTTAACATTGAGGTAAGAAATAGTAACTCCGCCTGTAGTTCTTCCAGAGTTACTGCCGGTCTCAAGCCCGGGTAAAGGAGGAGGGTTGTGCATGGGGTTAGCGACCCCATCCCGTAGAAAACTAACTCGTTAAAAAAATGCTTATCAGGAAAAATAATTCAAACCATTTAAACTCTGCCCTGAAAGTTAGAAGGTCTTCATTTAGAAGAATTATGACGCTTCATGGTGAAAGCCGAGTTCCTTCGGAAGCCACGAGGCCGATGCCCCTTCTAACAACCAGAGCAAAAAATTTTATAGGTACATGGAACGTCCGAAAAATGTAGGAGACCGGGAAGACCAGTCAAATAGCAACGGAAATGAGGAGATACAACGTGGCAGTACTGGGAATCAGCGAAACCCATTGGACCCAAGCTGGACAACAAACGCTAAATACGGGAGAGATGCTACTATACTCCGGTCAGTCAATCAGTCAGTAACAACGTAGAACTTCGTAAGTACGTACATCAGTTCGAGTTGCCACACCACATTAGCACAGAGATGCAGTGGTCGATTCAAATCCCGTAATGGTAGAGGTAATAAGAGTATAAGCAGTAATCGGGAAAATTAGTGTTTGGAGATGTTACTTAAAGAGTATAATACAGTGAAATAAATTTGAGAGGAGAAAAAAAAGAGACAAGGAGGAATAAGGAGATCAAAATTTGGGAGAACACAAAGAGTGTATGCACCTGCGCCATTGCAAACGATTTTGAGCCATGTCATTCAGGGTCTCTAACCATCGGTTGCTATCATCTCGCGGTCCCCAACCAGGTAGTCTACACCTACCAACATGACTCAGTTCACTTGTCAGTGACTTCATGGACTTGTGCCATGTTTTGGTTTGGCCGCCCCTAGCTTTCTTCCAACCTACTCCTATACCACTGAACATAGCACGTCGAGGCAGTCGGTCGTTGGGCATACGTAACACGTGTCCAAGCCATCTCAACTGATGAAGTTTCACTACTTCATCAATTGATTTGCCATCCTTACCTAGTACCCGTTTCCTAACAACTGCATTACTTACTCGATGGTCCCATGATATACGAGCAATATTTCGAAGACACCTATGATCAAATACTAGTAACCTACGAATATCCTCTACTCTTACCGGCCATGTTTCACTGCCATAAAGTAGGACGGAACGAACTGCTGCGCAGTAAACACGTCCTTTGGTTGATAGACGGATATCTCGCCTACGCCATAAATGACGCAAGTTGGCAAAAGCTAGTCGAGCCTTCTGTATCCGTGCTGAGATTTCGTCACACACCAGACCACAAGGGCTGATGAGACTTCCAAGATAAGTGAAGCGGTCGACACGCTCAACTACTTCACTCCCTATCATTAGTTCGGGTGTCGATGCAACCCAATCCTGAAGCAACATTTTGCATTTCGAGGGGGAGAATCGCATCCCGAACATGCTTGCATTGTTGCTTAGAGTGGTCAGAAGACTCTGCATTTTGTCAGCGTCTTCACCAAATAAAACTATGTCATCAGCATATTCTAAGTCAACAAGTGAACCTCCCGGTAGAAGTTCAACCCCTGGAAATTTAGATGAGGAGAGTGTTATCTCTAAAAGTACGTCAACAAAGTTGAACAAGAATGGGGAGAGTGGACAGCCCTGACGAACACCACTTGAGGTAATCAATTCTGATGACAGTTCGCCATAAGCTCTCACTCTACCAGTTGTGTTCGAGTAGAGAGCCTTTATAAGGTTAATGTACTTCTTTGGTACTCCTTTCAGTGACAAACACTGCCATAGAACCTCAC